ATGGAATGGCTACATCAGTGTTCATTTGCGTTTTCACCCACTAAAACCATGGGAGAGGCATGAATTTTCTTAGCATCCTCATGGTCGGAAGCACGAAAGACAAACTCTTAGCTTAAAAAGAACAAAAGAAAGTACTGTGTAGTTGACTAAAACAGGCACATCAGTTTAAAGGAGGGATAACTAATGAAGAATAAGAAAGCAGAGAACAAAAGTCAGAGACCATTAGAAATGCCAGCTGGTGGAATTTGCAATGGAAGGTGGGAATTATCTGTTGTGAAATGGCTCAGACCTTGAACTGAGCATCGCTTTATGAAGTACAGCTGTTGTAAGCTCACCCTGTGTGTCACAAAGAATAGCATCACGTCCTTGGAAAAACTTGGTAGTCCTGTGTCTCAACAGCCTTAAATGAATTTTTTTAAAGAAGGCAGTACCATCCCAGGCCCCCTATTGCTTCACCCATTCATTCATTAAACATTTATTAAGCTTCAATGCCATTCTACTCGGCATTGGGTATATAAAAAGAGGAAGAAAAGACCCTGACCTCAGTTGCTCAGTCTTAGCTCAACGGTAATTAAGAAGAGCTTCTCACTCTCTGGATGAAGCAGTGCTTCAACCCTGGCTGGTCAAGGCTTTTGAAAACCAATGGAGTGGATTCTTTCCTGAATATCCATAATTATCCTATTCAAGGGTATGCAAGTTAATGACATCAACTGCTTTTCTAAGCTGCAGTCTTGGCAGTTTCTGTCTGTGTCCCTGGGAAAAGCACAAGGTACAAAGAAACTTTAATTAGATGTGAAGAATCAATCCATCGGAGCGATCATCCAGTGTCCTATGGTATCCAATGACAAGATGGTGGGAGGACAGAGTAGTTCACTACTTGAACCATCTGCTTGTATTGACAGTTTCTTAGGAATAGGTTGGGGAGTGCAAATCTTGAGTGAGAAGGCACTTTATTTACTTTATTTCATACACATTGTATTTTCGTCTTGTGAATGTACGATAAAAATATTTATCATTTAATAGCAATGCAGGTCTCCCATGTAGGTTCTCTGTAAACCTGAGGGCAATCAATTAATACCAACTTTAAAGTGGGACATATTTAAGAAACATATAATTGGGTCTTCAGAGAACTATATTAGGTTGTAACCAGAACTTTGTATTAATCAGAAGAATATATTATTTGGGGAATGAGGGGGGGAATGGGGGGAGGAAGTGTCCAAAAGATTTCAGGGAGCATGGGCCACAGACCTGACAAGAAACTTGTTATAATGGAGATATCTGCTTTCTTTACATTTTCCAAATGTTATGGGTTAAAGGAAAAAAGCACACAGAAAATTTGCTAGTTTAACATTAAACACAATTTCAAACCACATTAGTGTAGAACTTGTTTTAAAAGGTAACTGACAGCTTTGCTTTTGACCTGTCTCATTAAGGTGAGTTCTCTCTTAAAACACACACACACACACACACACACACACACGCGCACACACACAATTTTTATTGTTGCATTACATATGTCCCCATTCTCCCCCTCCCCCGCCCATATTGATCTCTACTAGTCCACCCCTACCCCAACCCCAGGCCTTCACCACCCTAGTGTGTGTCCTTTGGTTATGCATATATGCATATAAATTCTTTGATTGATCTCCTGCCCCCTTCCCTCTGAGGTTCCTTGGTCTGTTCCACATTTCTATGTCTCTGGATCTATTTTGTACATCAGTTTATTTTGCTCATTAGATTCCACATATGAGTGAGATCCTGTGATACTTATCTTTCTCTGACTGGCTTATTTTGCTTGCATAATACCTTCCAGGTCCATCCATGCTGTTGCAAATGTTTTTTTTTTTTTTAAATTTTTTATTGATTAAGGTGTTACATGTGTCCTTATTACCCCTTCATCCCCCTGAGTTCTTTCTTTTCACAGCTGCATAGTATTCCATTGTGTAAATGTACCAAAGGTGGTTTTTTTAAAAAATATTTTATTGATTTTCTTACAGAGAGGAAGGGAGAGAGATAGAGAGCTAGAAACATCGATGACAGAGAAACATCGACCAGCTACCTCTTGCACACCCCCTACCGGGGATGTGCCCGCAACCAATGTACATGCCCTTGGCCGGAATCGAACCTGGGACCCTGCAGTCCACAGGCTGACGCTCTATCCACTAAGCCAAACCGGTTTTGGTGGAGCCGTTATTCTTTAAATAGATTAGGTGCACTTGGACTCCTTGAAGAAAAATATCACCAGTATGTTCTTCTCTGCTTGAACATGGATGCATTACAAGAAAAATTAACTGGTCCTCAGAGCCATGTTGTTACTTCCCTACTTCATACAGTTATTTGTCTTTTGTCTTTTTCTTTTCACATGCTTGTCAGTGTGAGATGCAGTCAACAAAGTACTAAGGGAATAAACTTGTGCGAATCCCACCATTCAAAATAAAACCACGTGAACTAATGGTGCATAAAAGAAGCTGGATGTACTAAAATAACCCTATTAGTTGGGTACAGTTGGATACATCAAGGAATATGGCAATCCTCCGTTCAATTTGCAAAGCCCTTGGCCGGCAGGAGGAGGAGGGGATGGAAAAGTTTGGGTGAAGGATTTAAATGACTAGTCAAACAGTGAGTCACTGAAACTTTCCAGTTAATAATACCCTCTGCCAGGGCAGAGCCTGGGCCCAAGCGCTTTACGAGCCACATCACAGTTTAAGTTGTAATGTCTCACGGTTTTACTGCCTCTTCCACCAAATGAATACGTAAAATGAAACGCGCTCTGCGTTGGCTTGAGATGCAGGAGATGTTCTGGCTGGGGGAGGGGAGAAGGAAGGTGGAAAGAAAGAGAACAGGTAGGGATTCAGAGGCAGAGAAGACGATGAAAGGGAAGAAATTTTCAAGAGCTGAGTTTCCCCTCCGTATCCTGTGCCTAACAGGACGAGTGGACCAGAGTGCAGGCTGAGACACTCGCCAAGTCGCGCCAGGTCTTGCTTCGGTGACCCCTGGCCCCCCCACTCCGTGACAGGTGAGGCCGCTGAGCCGCCACCAGATCGCAGCTTCCTCGCGCTGCCTGCCGGGAGCCCGAGCCGCTTCCGGTTGCTCCGGGCCCCAGAACTTCGACTCCCGTCAGCCCCCGGGAAAACCGCAGCGGGGTCGCGCGGACGCTGCCGGAACTCGTAGTCCCGTCTTCGCTGCGCTTCATAGCCGGAAGCGGGAACGCACAGGGCCGGGAACTACCAAGGCGAAGGTACGGGTGGCGGCGAGGGGTCAACCTGTGCCGGGCGTGGGGTTGGCGCTGAGGCTGTCGGAGGTGGTTGGGGTTGGGTGGGAGGAGATCCGCTCGCTCACACGAGGAGGATTGAGCCGCCGCCGCCGCCGTCGTCGCGAGTGCGGAGTCGGGAATTGAGCCGCTGCCGCCGCGACGCCGCTGGAGTTTGGGTCGCTAGCCCTCGGCCCTTCTTCCTCGCCGCTTCCCGGGGTCAGCGCGGCCTGCTTGTTCCACGCCGGTCGCCCCCGCCTCCATTTCCCGCCCTCTCTTCACCACACACACGGCCCCCCCGATCATGGATCCGGGCAGTGGTGGTGGCGGCGTCGGCGGCGGCGGGAGCAGCAGCAGCGGCAGCAGCAGCTGCGACTCGGCGCCCGACTGCTGGGACCAGGCGGACATGGAAGCCCCCGTGCCGGGCTCATGCGGTGGCTCTGGCGGCCCTTTGGCGGCGGCGGCGGCCGAGGCCCAGGGTGAACCCCTCAATGCGGCCTTCAGCCGGCAACTCAACGTCAACGCCAAACCCTTCGTGCCCAATGTCCACGCCGCCGAGTTCGTGCCGTCCTTCCTGCGGGGCCTACCCCAGCCGCCGCCACCCTCAGCCGGCGCCTCGGCCAACAACCACGGGACCGGCAGCGGCGCGGGAGGCTCTTCGGGTAAAGGGTCGGGACTCGGGGCAGCCCCGAGACGCGGGAGGCAGCGGGGCTGCGAGGGCGGGAGCAGCAGCTGGGGGGTCTGGGCCCACCTGGGCTGGGGTGGGCTGGGATGAGGCGGTGCGCCCCGCAGAGCCGGGGGACGTGGGACCCGGCGGCACGTGGGGCGCTGACAGCGGAGTCGGGCGCCGGCAGTCTTGGGTGGGGCGGTCCGGGGCCTTGAAGTCGGCCTCATGGGGTGGCGGCGGCGGAGGGCCGGGCGGGGTGGGAGAAGCGCGCTGGGGACACTGGCGGGGCTTGGGGCCGGGGCCGGGGGCCCCAGTTACCACTTAAGGTGGGAACCGTATGGAACGGAGAGGGGCGGCGGCAGGGCAGTAACACGAGGCCCAGAAGTGAGGACAGATGGAATCCCGAGCCTGTAGGTAGGCGTTGAAAGGTCCGAGGAGTTGGGGAGGACGAATCGAGTTTTCTCTTCACCTTAGGCCTAGGAGAGAGTGTCTCTTGGCTGCAACTTCTATTATTGAAACTGTAATTACGTGTTAAATATCTGTGGCACGGAACCGGCTAAAGGAATCCCAAGATGCATTGCAGTCTTGTGATCCGACAGAAACTGTTGGCTATCAATACAAAGATCTTTTTCACCCTTCGCATTTTGTAAGCTTGTAAAGTTCACAAAATGTCACAAAGTTAGAGTACCTCATTTAATATGGATAGGAAATTACATTAATTTGTGTGCTCCCTTTCTTAAGTGGGACTTGGACTTTCTCCGTCAGTGACAGGCTTAGAATTTTCAGTGTGTCAAAATCGTTTACCTTATTCAGGTTGTTGGGTATAACTCACTTTTTTAATGTTATGTGTCAGTTAAGTAGCCTATTCAGACACTTGAGCATTTGTTATAACAATAGTAGTCATGTGCGGTTCTGATCTTAGGTATTAAGACAAACTTTCAGATGTTTCAAGTTCAGTTCGGTCTTTAATAACCTTCCTGTATTTAGGGGGCTGCTTCAGTAATAGCATGCTTTCAGGTACTGATTTTGTAGGAATATCAAATGAGTGAATTTAAGTATTCTTATATAAAAGTTGCCTATTACCTTGTCCCGTGTTAGAACATTGGTCCTTCCAGGGTCGTGGGTTTGGTTCCCGGCCAGGGTTTCTCTCTGTCTTTCTCACCATCCCTTCCTTCCACTCTCTGAAAAGCAAAGGAAAAGATGTCCTCAGGTGAGGATTAACAAAATAAACAAACAAATAAATAAAAATTGCTTATTTTAGGAGCTTAAAGAGAAAAAGGGAAAGGCTGAATGTCCTTGCATTCTAGTGAGGGTATGGAACTGAATCGTAGTTATTCCCAGCAATTTGTGAGAGCAGATTGTTGATTTCTCTTTAAAGTTCTATATTGTAGTATTTTTTAGATAAGTGGACACCATAAAAGTTTAGTTTCTTCAGAAACTTCTGCTACAATTTTCTCTCTAGAGGTAAAAAGAGACTTTGGAGAAATACTTTTGCAAGTATGTACATATGTGAGCACAGTTTGGATTTGGTTGTTTTATTGACTGGTATTTCTTATGCTTGTGTGGGTGTTTGATGTTTTCCTTTTGAACAAGGAAGCTTACTTAGCTTTTATTTCTTTGCTTATGTCAAGCCATTTTGGCTACTTAAACAAATCCACTTAACAGCTCCTAAAAGTGCCTGTTTCCAGTGCCTTATCATAAGGATCTCTGTTATCCAGACATTTTCTTTTTCGGTCCTCCCTCAATCTGAAGCCATCAGCACCAGTATGGCAAGACCTATTTCCAGCCTTGCTACCTATTAGCCATCCAGGGACAGCCATCAGTAATCAGAGCAGTGGTCTGGAATGGTAGTCAGTTGTTGAATAACTAGGCAGACTAGGGATTAACGCTTTTATTTTTTTAAGTTAATAAATTTTTATTTAAGGAATTTCACATGTTCTGTCTGAGTCCTTCCACTGGAATCCTGAGTTTGAGTTTTAATTGTCATCCCTTTTTTGTTCAATCCAGTTGTCATTTCACTCAGTCCACAATCCTTGTAGTTGAGCTTCTTTGATCTACACTTGAATATGGACATCAAAAGCTCTTCACCTAGGCCCTGGACTGTTTGGCTCAGTGGATAGAGTATCGGCCAGCGGACCAAAGGGTCCCAGGTTTGATTCTGTTCAAGGGCACCTGCCTGGGCCGAGGGCTTGATCCCCACTAAGGGGGCGTGCAGGTTGATCCACGATTCTCTTAACGATGTTTCTGTCTCTCTCCCTTACTCTCTGAAATCAATAAAAAAAACTTTTTTTTTTTTTTTTTTTTAAACCTCTCCACCTATAATTGTTGGGAACTGATTTCTTCAAGCAAATTTACTTTAGGCAATGGTTAGGGTCTGAGTAGATGGATCAGCCTCATTTAATTTCAGATACCCTCTAAACATGAATAAGTTAAAATCATCTTCACTCCTAAGCTGTCACCCTAGAACAGTATAGATCTTCGGGATATACAAAATACCTAAAGAATAAGACATAAATCCAGATATTGTGTTCTTAAGATAAAACGCTAATGAGAAAAAGAAGTCGTCTTTGTTACAGTGTTATCAACATCAAAATTAAAATACTAAAGCAGTATGGTTGATATTTCCCTGATATTCTGTGCTTTTTTAAATGATTAATCCTATAGACCTGAAGGAACCAGCATTTTAGGTATCATGTTCCTTCTTATATGTATCAAAACTCATACTGAACAATGAGTTCTGGGTTAGACATTAACTCTTACCCAGGAGAATTTTTCCTCTTCCTGATAGTTGCTAATTTGCAGTTTTAATTCTTTTCTCTGTGACCTACTGGGAGTTAGAGATGTAAAAATGTGTAGGGAAGTGGTTGTAAGGGAAGTCCCTACCTTATGGTCAACTTTTTTCTTTTTTATCAGAGACTTATTTTGATGTTACAGACTTTACCAGCTGCTTCTACAAAATGTGAGTTATGTTTTTAAAAATTATCCTTTGAAGGATATCTATTTGAAAAAGAATAGATTTTCTAAATTGAGGTCCTGACTTATGTGGGACTGTTGGATTGCATGTTCCAAGCCGATTCAAGTCCGTAAAATACCATCAGAGCAGGAAACTATGCTTGGAAGAAGTGGGGGGAAAATGGGAACAGCATTTAGATTGAGTTTACAAAGGAGGAATCATAAAGTTTGCAATTTTTTTATATTAAGGAAATGGACAGTAGGGCTAACATGTTTCTTTTTGTTGTGAAGCCATAGCTGAAATTTGCCGTGTGTGTGGGTGTGTGTGTTTAAACTAGATACCAGAGAGCACTTGTACAGTGTCATCCACCTTCTCTAGAAGGCTGCTGGTTATGCCTGTTTCCAGCCATCCCAGCTTAGGTTTCAGTGTTGACTTAGGATCTCTTTGAAAATTTAATATAGGGTTCCAAAAACATGACTAAGTAGAACCCATTAGGTGTAATTCATTTTAGTTCAGTACTCTGTACAGAGCCAAGTAAATTGGCTAAGTAATTGCTCTTTAAAGTAGAGGTCCTAAAATGAATGAAAATATGAAGGCAAGGGTTATATATACCAGAACAACAAATGTTTTCCATGGTAGAATGTACTTTAAGCTCCAGTTTGCACCTAGTTCAGTCTCTCCCCAGTAAATGAGAAACAGGTTTAGTTACTATTCAGGGTTAGTTACTTGTTGTCTTAGTCCATTTGGGCTACTATAACAAAATATTACAGCTGATAGAAAATAGACATTTATTGCTCACAGTCCTGGAGGCTGGAAGTCTGTGATGGGGTGCCAGCCTGGTTGAGCAAGGCCCTTTTCTAGACCAGCGTTTTTCAACCGACACTAGTGTGCCGCGAGATGTTGCCTGGTGTGCCGTAGGTGCAGACAAGACAAGAATTTTATAATTTTTCACTATTTTGTTTACTTAATATTTCATAATAAAGTAATTATAAAATACTTTCTTTGTGTTTATTTGATTCCTATTCAAGAGAATTACTTTATATATAGTCAATATAGGCACAGAGTTAAATTTTTTAACATTTTCTAATGGTGGTGTGCCTTGTGATTTTTTTCATGAAACAAGTGTGCCTTTGCCCAAAAAAGGTTGAAAAACACTGTTCTAGACTATTGACTTCTTGTGTCCTCTTTCCGCTGCAGGGGCAAGAGAGCTCTTTGTAAAGACACTAATCCCATTCATGAGGGCTCCACCCTCATGAGGGCTCCACCTTCATGACCAAGGGCCCTCCAAAGGCCCTACCTACCACTATCACTTCAGGTGTTAGGATTTCAACTTAAGAATTTGGGGGGGGGGAGGGGGTAATAGGTGGGACACAAATATTCAGACTGTAGCACTTAGATTTAAGAGCAGCCTAGCTTCTAAAGTAATGGTGTAATGCTCTTTCCACTTCTCCACCCTCAACATTTCTCAAAACTCTGCCATTAAAAAAATAAGTATAGAATAAAACCAGCAGGCTTCAGAGGAAGATCTAGCCCCAAAATGTAGCACATTATATTGTGGAACTTGAATTTTAAAAAGAAATATTTGTTTTGTAGTGCTTGGTTTTCACTGACTGCCTGTAGTTGGGAAGGGATTTTTTTTTTTTTTAAATGATTGACATATTAATATAACATGAAATTCACATTTTAAAAATATACTGTTTAGTTGTTTTTGGTATATTCACAAAGTTATGCAACAAAGTGTCATCCACCTTCCCTGGAAGGCTTGTTACTTGGTGGATGCTTGTTAATCACTCAATAGTCTCAAAAGATGTCTTTGGGGCCCTAGAGTAGAAAAGATATAGAATAAAACTGGTAATGCTTGTTTTCTCCAGAACTCCTCTTAAATATTCTTCTTATTATTAAACATTACCTATTGACTGATAGATAAGTTTGGATAAATAAGGTTCTTGACTTTAGGTTTGTTTTCTTTTTCCTCTATACTGAAATGGCCTGCATTAACAGTTCTAATATACAGGATTTTTCAGGTTTCTGTGGGACAGTAAATAGAATAGAGTGGACAGAAAAGATCAGGGGAAATTATTGATCCTGGAGTATCATATGTGTATATATGACATTGTGTGTGTGTGTGTGTGTGTGTGTGTGTGTGTGTGTGTGTGTTTGGTTAATCCTCACCTGAGGATATTTTTACTATTGATGTTTTTATTTTTTTTTAAGAAAGGGTGGGAAGGCGAGAGACAGACAGACATTAATTGGTTGCCTCTTACATGGGTATCTCCTGCCAGGGATCGAATATGTAACTCAGGTACCTGAACTTGACAGGGAATTGAATCCTCAAATCATTGGGTGGCTAGGGCTGAGGCTCTAACCACTGCATAGCACAGGCAGTGCTCCCTCTCCCTCTCCCTTTCCCTCTCACTCTCACTCTCACTCCCTCCTTTCTTCCCTCCCTCTCCCCCAGTCTTGACTTACTGATTATTAGGTTATTGAATTTGGCCCCTTATTTGCTTGAATGACTTGTGCAGGAGGATTTAGGGAACAAGTGCTGTGCCATGTTGAGCAGTTTAAACTGTTAGAAATTTTGATTGAGAATAAATTGTCTTTGAAACAAGTTTTATTTAGTAGTGCAGTGAGTGTAGAGCTTTTTGCATTATTTTGTCCTTTATTTTTCACTTTTTCTGAATCATATTGCATGAAAAGGCAGCAATTAAAGTTTATCAGGGCAAGTTAGGGAGATGTTATAGAGGACAGATTTTAAGCTTTGTTTTGGTTGCTTTTATTTGCTGGGGAGGAAATATCTTAGTGTTGAAATAGTATTGTTTTTCTGGTTGAAGAGAAAGAAAAAAAGAGACTAGATAACCTTATAGGCGAGTTAGCAGTATTAGAGTGGAAATTTTTGAGATGTGAATCTGGTTTTGCTCAGATATATGTATAACAGTTAACGAACTGCCTACAGAATGCAGGATGCTGTTCTAGGCACTTGAAATGACAGCACCAAGAGGAATAAATTGTTCCCAAGGAGTCTAGAAAGGGATCAGATTTACGCTTAATGGAAGACACAGCATGGTAAGAGGGCCATACAAAGGGTGCAGAGGGCTTTCAAAGCTGTAAAGAATAATTGTTCACAGATTTCCTTATGTAAATAATTTCAATCTTGTCACCCTAATGATAAACTAAGGATCTATCTATTTTCCTCCTTTTTTTAAAAAAAGGATTTTCCCATTTTTCAAA